GCAATCAAAGGAATAACACTAATATAATAGAGAAACACAGTTTCTTCAAAGGATTTTGATAATGACAAATGGCCTTGTTTGATGTGTTTGATACATTTTCATCAGATTCTGCAGTTTTAATTACTGCAGAATACATCAGGAACACAGCAAAATTAAGATATACTGGATTTATTTCTTGGATACTTTAAGCAAGCCTAAGAAGAAGTTGTGTCAATAGCATTATTCACTTCAGCATCAAGAACAGTCTTTCAGGCTCAGAAGTCACATGGATATTTACTTCACAAAAAAAGCCCTAACCAAACAACAACCAAACCCAAAACCACTACAGCTTCAGATGAAATCAATGTATGCTACTGTGTTTTCACATTTTCTAAGAAAGAATACCAGAAAGGTATTCTGAATGCAATGCTTAAATAACAACACCTTATTTCCCCAGACAATCAGTGTGTAACCAATTCCATGGGAACAGTTAAAAAAATTACCAGCCTTCACTACCAGATGAAGTGAAAGTCATACAAGTATGGCTCTAAAATATTTGAAATATTACTACTTCCTCCTAAAAAACACAAAGCACCATCAATGTTAATAAAGTTGATCAGTAATTCCAAAAAATCACTTCATCTGTAACTGTCTGCTTCACATTCCCAAAACTCCCTCACAATCATCCACATTCCCAAAACCATGGGACCCATTGTAGGGTTTTCTGTTTGATTCTGAATGGTACGAGAATTCAGAATTCAGCTCATACTGGAAGCAGAAGTCAGGTGCTTTAGAAATCTAACTATGACTGTAAATTACATAGATCATCTACATTCTTACTCTCACCCTCTAAGTCAAAATTGGGAAGCTGCAGAAAAACAAGCAAAAAGAAGCTTGTAAAAACCATGGCACAGAGCAGCTCTCCTCATGTTAAACAAGAGGGACAGAAAGCACATGTAAGACCAGATAATACTAAAGCTCCAATGGCAAAGCAGGCTGAAAAGCAAGAGCGTGACAAGAGCATTAGCCCTTGCTCTGCTCTGGAAGCAACCTCTGTGTTTCACCTGAGACTCTGCAGCACCTGCATGGGTACCAGCAGCTCAGAAAGTCTCTGAGCTGCTATTTCAGAAAGCTGGTGCTTAAATCTTACTTCAGTCAAAAATCTGTCAGAGTGCTTTCCATCAATGTTCAACGTTGCTCTGCTTTTGTGATGCAATTTAATATAAAGCAGCAGTAAAATTTACCTCCTCTGCAGGAATTAAGGCCGCCAATAAAAGCCGAGATTCAATGTTAACAACAGCCCCACAAACAGTATCAAAACCAACTATATATAATAACTGTAATATGACAACTGCTATTAATGTCAACAAAAATTTGTCCAAATTCAGTGCTTCCCTTCCCTTAGCTTTTTTTTAAAATTTATTTCCAATTTTGAAAATAAAGGAACTACAACAACATTATCCCAAATCCGACACAACCAAACCCTTTTTATTAGTTGTACAGTATAAGGTGCTTTACAAAAACAACTGTTTTTTGGTCTCATTTAAAAGAAGCAAAAACAAGGCATAAGCATATCTGTACTCTTTTTAAGACAGAAAAACAACTCAGCTGATCACACAAAAATATTTGGATGCTGAAACTAGTTGTGTTTTCATACTCTGGATTCCAATTCTCTGTTACCACTGAAACAACTTTTTAAATAACAAAGATAAGACTATCAATATACCAGCTGAATATTCACTACATGGCATGGTTTTGTTTGTTAAGTGCTTGGATTTCACCCAGCACTAGTTACAAAGCATTTATAGACTGGATTTTGAGGAACCAAGTCTAGTGGAAGATGCTTCTGCACATGGCCATGGCAGAGGAGTTGGAGCTAGATCATCTTTAAGGTTCCCTTCAACCCAAACTAATCTAGGATTCTGAGATTCAAAAAATAATCCAGGCTAGGAAGGACAAAACTGCTCCATAAGAAGAAGGATGCTCACCCTATTTCTCCACTGACTGCATCTTCTGCCCATGTCAAATCTGCACGAGAGAGCATGAAGACAAGTTCTTAAATGCCACAAAATTCATTAGGTATTTTAGAAAAAGTGAACTCACGTGCCAATATTTAGTTTCAGAATACACAGGGATTATGTGATTAGAATCCCACTGGCTTGCTGGGAGGATTCAGCAAGATAACTACAAATTACTTAGAGGGCTAGTGTCAAAAGGACTTCTGTACTTATTTAGCCTCTGCTCTAGATTACTGACCCACTTATGAAGAGCTAAGCAGTCCTGCTGTGCAATGCCAACACCCACTCCATCTGTTTGCTTCTGCTTTCTCAGAACCTCCATTAGTCTCGTAAGAAGTTGTGTTAATTACCACAAGAGCAGCTTTTGTGTAGTACACACAGGATCAGCCTCCCTTAGTGTGCAGTCACCTTGACAAACAGCACAGGAGCAGAATAAACCTGATTCAGCACGATTATCAATGACACACAGTAAGAAATGCAGATTTCTGAGTAGGTGATTTTGTTCAAGCTGCTTCTCAGTTTCGTGAAAAGTCTGTGGGAGTTTGGATGCTTTAGGCTTAAATAATGAAAGAGTATACTAGAGCTAAACACTGTATCAAACCCTCTGGAAATCTCCCAGGGGACCAGAAACTTGTGAAACTGCAACTGAAACTTTTTTTTACGGAATAATGCAACAGTGACAAACAGAAGCATCCCACAACAGTTGTCAATATCTACACGAAATTAAAAAGCAGTAGTAAGTAAAACTAAAGCTAGCTAAAAAAAAATCAACACACACAAAACCTCCCCCCCACCCCAAGCAGAACAACATTTGGAAACCTAGCCCAGCTGTCACATCAGAACTGCATCTCAGCAGCTTGGCACCACAAACTTCCTGCTGACTAGTAAGGAAAAAAGTTTCAAATTCAGCATTTTATTATTTATCCCTGCTGATCGGCAGATCTTTAAGACATTCATTAAAGTGGGTCTCAAGCAGTGGTTTCATTAACTTACTAAATCCAAGAACAGAATCTCCAAGAAGTCATTATAGTACTGAGCTGACATTCGTTATTTCTTGGGAACCCAAACTATTGCTGTCAAAGTGAAGTACTATCAACAAAACCCAGCCATGGAATTAAAAAATTCTGTATGGCACTGCTGGCAGCCCTGATATCGCCCTGCCCCTTAATGCCAAAATCATTTTTTAATTTAAAATGAAACCCTGTATAATAGCCAAAACCACCTGAAGAACTCTTCCTGGCTTACTCCTAAGATATTCAAGAGAAGGAAAATCCAGGTCCAGCTCTTTTTACAGCTGAATGGAGGACAGAGAACAGCAAGAACTGCTGGTCACAGAATATTTGTATTCCATTTTAATGAATTGCTTATTATGCCTACTTTAGCACAAAAGGTCATGCAAGCATATTCTACTATGAGTAGACTAGAGTCTACTCAAAAATAATGATGTATTAGAACACTGTTTGTATCTTCTAACAAAATTGATTGTAGACATCTACTTTTCTGAAATAGCAATATCTACTGTTCCAGTATCCCTGCAGGAGGGCTCTATGAAATCCAAGAGCTCTAGAATCTAGGTACACATTTTTATATCAAGTGCATTATATAACTTGTGTTGTATGAAACAACTCCCAATTAAGCACTTCATCTCAGTCTCAGTAAAGACTTGCTAAATACATGAGGTCATCTTAAGAAATATATAACCACACAGGTTTCAATCTTAGTCTGCTGACAATACACCAAGACAAGAAAGCGCTAATATTTTTTAATCTATTGTTTCCATCTGGCAAAAGGAAGAAAGCAGAATGGAAAACCAGAATTTTTTTTTTTTTGTATATTCTAGGGAAGAAAATACAAGCAGAGGGCAGCATTAGAAACAAAAGATGAACAGAAAATATGAAAATAAGAATTAAAATAGCCATTCATTCAGGGTATGCTCATGACTTTCCCAGACAGCTGTGTCAAAAAGAAAACAGAATGCTGACACCATTATCAGATAACAGCTACAACACATTCAATATATGGAATCATTAGTGACACCAGTCAAATATGGTTTGCGCTGTGATTAATACAAAGTTTAAAAGTAGCTAGGCTGAATGCGCTAATACAGAAATGAAGTTCATAAACCAGATGTTGTTTCTCTTCCTATAAATAAATTTAATGTCAAGTCACTTAAATGCCCAGAAAAGAGAAATCTACCAACTTTTTCAGGGAAAAACACACCTGTGAAGTGATTTGATACTTCTGTCAGACACAATGAGCTTGCCCAGGCACCCCAGTGGGATTTCAGTGCAACATGAATCAAGAGCAGACTGCATTATACTTACAAACATAACCCTTGCTCTCGCACAGCAGTTGCTATGAATTAAGCTGGAAAAGTCAAAGGGGTAGAATGCAAGTTGTTTATCTAAATCTTTATGCAGCTCAGAAGAGCAATTCTAGAAATACCCCAAGTTCTTAAGAAAAAAATGTTTTCATTAAACAATAACAATAATTACAGTAAATAAACTGGTCTTCAGACAACCTGCCTCCAAATATAAAATCTCCCTTCAAAAGGGAGAATGGAGGCAGCTTGTACAATTTAAACTAGCAGATATAACTGAAAATAATTAGATAACTGAAGTGTTGACCAAGGAAAAACTAGTCTTCTGGTATTTTTTCACATAAAAGTGTTGGCTCAAGCACGTCCCCCTCCCCAAGAATTGACAGGGTTATTAAATAAAAGCATAAAGCAGTGCTACAAACTAAGAGCAGTGCTAAACATCATCAGAATACACACAAACAGGACCCTACATACCAATGAAAATTGAAATGTAACAAAATTGTGACTTCACAAAGCATATGATTCCATTATAAGCAAGCACTGTATTAATCCAATACACAATTTAAATAACTTTGAAGAATCAAAGGCATGCAACTATTTTTTAGTCATTTGTTCACAGAAGGTCTGAACATCCATTTAGTCATTTCCTAAGTAGCTGTAACAATTTCATATACAGCACTTACCTTGGTATTGTCACGCATTTTGTATTGCAATTCTGAGTGGTAATTGCCTTCTCAAGCTCATCCAGCTGTCCTGTTTTCTTTAGCTTCTTGACCAAGCTTTTCACTGCTTTCTCACACCACTTTTCCTCCTGACCATTCTGCTCACCACCACCAGCCCCTGCAGTGCCACCAGCAGATTTTTTCCACCCCAGAAGTCTCTTCACAACTGGCGGAGTGAACGGCAATATGGACATGACTTTCACCAGACAAGACACTCAGCAAGCAATGAATTGGAGATTCCTGTCTCACCCCTAAAAATACAAACCAAAACAGGAGACATGTTAGCACTGAGGTTCCACATGAAACAAATACCTGTCTGCCCTTAGGACCTTTCACTGCTAAATGCCACAGGACACTGCATCCAAAAAAAAAAAAAAAAAAAAAAAAAAAAAAAAAAAAAAAAAAAAAAAAAAAAAAAAAAAAAAAAAAACCAGATAAATAGCTCAGAAGTAAGTCTGTATCACAGTTAGCTACTACATAAATAAAGATCAAGTCAGCTGTAGACTCAGCAGCTAACACAGACCAAGATTGCTACTGGAACAGAAAATTAATTTTTTTCTCAAGTCTTTCCTGACTGAAGCAAACTTTGCAAATACAGAAGGTAACTTGAGTCTAGCTTTGTACCTAGGCTAGCTGGTTTAAGTAATTTATTAATATTTTCCACACTGAAAGACATGCATGTTCTGCCCATATCCAAATTAATTTAGGAGGTGAAATTGTGTTTGGAAGGTGATTTAGTCATTATGGCTTGATAGAAACTTCCAACAGCCAGTCATTTCACAAACCTTTTCTCATTTTGTCATGCTTTAAATAACTACCAATTTTTTTTTTCCATGGCGGGGACACCAATTTCAAATTTCCCCCAAGTCTAACAATAAGCCTACTCCCCTCTAAAATTCAATGGCCTACAGATAATAAATCCTCTCAAATGGCAGCCCTTAAAATCAGGTCTTTCAAAATTCACTAAAGGAACAGTTAAAATCTTAGTTTGCAGGCATCAGGGCAGTAGAACTGTCTGTTTTCATTTTTAAAAACCCTTCATTCAGTATAACTACCTGATCAGGATATTAATATGAAATGAAATATTAAAAGGGATGCTGAAACTAGAGCTATGTTTAGCATTCACTGCAATATGCACATCAAATCATTTAAGAGAGAAATGATAGCCACTTAGAAAAAAAGCATCTTGCTTTTGCAGCTTCCATTAGGCTGGTTTTAGGCATTAAAATAAAATACCTGAAATCAACAGGCAGACAGCTGTTAGAAATCTCTCAAGGACATTAATGGTCCTGTGGATGGAAGCATAGCTTTGAAGTCAAAAATTATTCTATTTCCAGGCAACAAATGGGTATTTGAACTCCAGAAAGTTCCCATATTCCCAAGCCATGTAAGTTAGTTCAGTCAGCTGAAAATACCTTGTTTTAGCTAAAAGCTAACACTACCTTCAGGTTATCTGATTGGAGCTTTGAAGGCAGGTTACGTGCTTCTCCAACCTGTACAGGCACACTCCCCACATCTATCCAAAATACGCCAACTTCATCTTACTGAAGTCTCCCGCCTGCACAACAGCATGATCCAAGGCACTTCAGGCTACAGCATTCATTCTAATTTATGCCTTGTCACATTTTTGCAGTTTCAGTGAGGGCCCAGTCAACAAACACTGGATTATATTCTACAGGTAATTTAAATCATAACTTAGCAACTTCCACAAAACAGAACATTCAGTAGGCACGACATTTCAGTTTCAAATAAATTACACCTCCATAAACCAGCTTCTCAGAGCACCCAAAGATACGACTGAAGCAAGCGATGTAGTTTTCTGGGGTCAAGGAGGTTCTAATTAACAGGGACCGATATCAACACTGATAATTTTATGCAAGCCATTGAAAATACTCCATACTAAATCACAGAATTACAGAGTGTTTTGGGAAGGGACTGTTAAACATCATCTTGTTGCACCTTCTGCCATGGGCAGGGACACCTTCCACTATCCCAGGCTGCTCAGAGCTCCATCCAACCTGGCCTGCAACACTGCCAGGGATGGGGCAGCCACAGCGTCTCTGGGCAACCTGTGCCAGGACCTAACCACCTTCAGAGGAAAGCATTTCTTATACACAATCCGGATCAACCCTCTCTAAGTTTTAAACTGTTGCACATTTTTTGTCTGTAGAGACACTGGTAAAAAGATAAAACATTCATTTTCACACAAGATTATAAAGAAATTTCCTTCTTCCAGCAACATTAAATTATTGCTGAATTGTCCTCAATAACTCCAACTGCAGGTTTTGCTGAGCATTGCATTGGAGGTCTGGCTACAGCAAAAAGAAAAATAAAACTGAACAGACAACATTTTTTAATGAAACACTGACTTGAACACTAAAGGTACAGTACCATAAAGAGTCAAGCCAACACAGCAGCTTCTTGCCACAGGAAGCCCAGTTCTCCTTCTTTTCCTTCCTGTAGCACCACCACCTCAGCACCAGTACTAATGCTCTTCCACAAAAATTCAGCTAGGTAAAAGTAAAAACCCATCAATTTTCTGGGGTTTTTGCCAATACAGTTCTCTTTCAAGCTAAAAAGCTGCTCGCACATGGTACTGATGTACTACAAGTGATGTCAGATTAATTACAGCAGTGTGTAAAGAGAACTCTAGCCCCAGACTTTAACTGCAGCACTAACGCTGACTGCATAGCTGGAAATGTGCTTTAATTTAAATCATTTATTTTGGTGACAAAGACAAATTAAGGAGCCTGACATGCTCTGAACCATTTGAGGGCCTGCAGTGAGACATATTAGACCCCTAATGAGTACACCACGCAGCTCCAGAGATTAAACAGGCAGGCTTGCATGGCCTCCACTGGTTGAAGAAACACACTTGGTTTCTAAAGCAGGGAGCAGCAGACACTGGGAGCTTTATAAAAATACTTCAGCCTTTGAACAAGGCCAGCATTGGGTGCTTCAGAGGCACAGACACAAGAAATTCAGAAAGACTGAACTAGAGGAAACAACCTCTTTGCCTTTTGTTTCAAAGAGCAGCAATTGATGGTATAACATCTGAACATTAAATTCAGTGCTGACAGATGTAGGCAATCAAGTACCACTATCATTGCTGATCCACACACCAATTCTTATCCTTATCTGAATATTTCTGTTCTTTAGCTTCAAATTTGACACCTTTCAGTGCCACAAAATACTCCTTTGACTGTCAGCCTTATAAAACACAGACTTCAGAAAGGTCTCATTTACCACCAAGGTGGGAAATAGCCTCTTTCAGAGCCTGTTCTTCCAGGCTCTCCAAGCATTCTCAATGCCTTTATCCAATTCTTCAGTTTTTAATACTCGCTGTGATTAGGTGTTTAATTTTGTAGTATTCTCTCCCCTAATTATAAAATACAATTTTCTGTATTCTCTCATGGTTTGTTTTTTCTTTAATAAAGATTTGCCTTTCTGCTTCAAATGCACACTGAGTAACTTAAAGTCTTGGAGCATGAAAGAATTAGAAATTCCATACATTTCTCTATATTTAAACTCTCATATTATTTTGACATAGTCAGAGAAAACAAATTTTAAAAAAATCTCTTTTCACATCTGCAAATGACTGTAGATTCAGACCAAACTAATCAGAAATTTCGAGACACTATACTTAATTTTATACAGCTGCCTTACAGATGTGTGCTCATCCAGATTCTGCAGAAGATGTCAGAAAGCACAAATTCATGTTACCTCCACAAAAGTAAGCTGTAAAAACCCCCAAACCACCAAGAGCTCTTTCTAACAATGATTTTTGCAGCTTAGCAGCTATTTAACAAAAACACAACACACATTGCAGCTCCAGTTTAGGAGTCTGGGAAGCTTAAACTAAATTTTTCCTTCTAGCTATTGTTTTGTCATGTCAGTGATTTGCCAGGAGTTATCAATAAGAATTTCAGGAGGTTATTCCAGTAGTGACCCTGTATCTTTCAAAGGGTGAGCAGAGAGAATGTGACACAAGTAGGACAGGACTTCATTCAGCTTAATATTAATACTTCAGCCAGTTGTGATGAGTACTCACATGAGAGTATTTCAGTCAGCTTAATTTATGAAAAAAAGGCACTCTGCTCCAAGCCTAGAGAAGGTAGTGCACATTGGAAGGTATCAGTGGGCTGAATTATGAGCAATTTGGATAAATGAAGATTTTATAATGAAAAAGCAGCCATGTGCATCCAGCCTAGTGCTCCAATAGCTCCAAAGGTAGCAAAAGGACATGCTACTCAAGGAAAGCATGATAACTTGGCTGTATTCTGCAGTCCAATCTCCTCATAATCCTTCAGCATTTTAAACTGTTATGAAATTAAAGGCTACATTGCTGCTTACTCCCATCAGAAGCAATTTATGGACTTGCTGTCCACAAATCCACCAAAGCATCTTTTGAATATGCCTTCACAACCTCTTGTGGCACACTGAACTAGCATTTAACTGCCCAGTGTCAAAAGAACTACTTTTACTAATTTAATTTATTCTCTTCCTAGTTTCAGAAAGTCACTCTTGTTCTACCACTGAAAATTTTGCTGAAGAACTACCTGCATTCACCTGGTCTGCAAGCTTCAAAACTCCGTACACTTGAATCGCGTCTCTCCCTCAAATAAGAGGGTTCTCAGGCTCTCATCACAAAGAAACTATCTGAACACAGCTCATGCAGTTTGGGATGTTCCCCTGGGCAGAGGCCAAGCCTGAAAGCTTTACTTCTTCCATTAAATTAATTACAAGTACTTGAAGACACTGTATAAGGACTAATCTAAGGACCACAAACAAAAAATGTATCAGCCTAAGGTTATCTTAGCACTGATCCCTTTGGACAGATTATCCTACAGCTCCCAACATCATAATTTAAAGTATAAAGACAGAAATTTACACCTCATGAGGGACTGGCGATAGAAGGCAGGTGCACATGTCTGCTGCAGAACATCTGCTCAAATAACATAAGGATCCCTAGACCTGCATTGGGTTCCGACTGTACCCACCCAGACGGTATCAGAAACACCTTGTTTACACCAATGGGTTTAGGAGTTACTGTTAAAGCTCATTTTTGAGCAAATCCCATTTCAATTCATCAATTATAACTTTTACCTTCAAATGAATACAGTAGTAGAAGAAGCTTTGATCTCTTAAAGAATGGTAATTGCATACACTGCCACTGCTGACACTCCCCTCTTGCTAAAAATATTCCTCTAGATTTTTGCCTGGTACACAATCTTCATCCACTAAAAAAAAA